CATGGTGCTGTCGTGACCCGGCGGAGTCTGTGTCGTTCACTGGAAGTACAAAGGCGGTGCCTTGAGTGCCCACGAAAGCAAATCGAAGCGTTAAAGAGGTAAATAATGTTTTCTAGTGTGTCATATTTTTTACAAAGAAGTAGTGTTGGATGTAATGTGAAATCAGCGTTTGATTTATTTGTGACAACTTTGCACGATATAAGTATCAAAGTCCCTATGTTATAAGCATTCGAGGGTGGAGAAATGCCTGCATAGGTATTGCGAGCAGAGATACTACTACTGTTTGTGCCTTTCAGAAAATGATTGATGTCCGTTTTGTGTTGCTTGTTTTCCATTCCTCCTCCTTGAGTACGTAAGATCGACTCACTTTGACCAAAAATGATCGACGCAGCCATGCGTGTGGTTGGGTGTGTCCTCGGTTCTGGCTGCTGATGTAGATGACCCGAGCGACGGATGACTCATACGTGGGTAGATGGCTAAAGGCCAGCCATGGCTCAGACACAAGCCAGTGACACGCGCTTCTGCTTAACGTTGTCCGCTGCTTCACCTGCTCGTTCCTATTGCACATGCTTCGAGCTACTCAAAGACCATCACATGCTCTGCCATTATTAATGTCACCGTTGCTGTCCTGTGGGGTTTGGTTACTCATCCGGCACAACACAATGCAACACGGTTCCCTGATTGGCTTGTTTTGCTACCCCATTGCGTGTTTTGCCCTTATCGTGCATTTTAGTCAGTGAGATTATGTTGCTGTCTGTCTCTGAACCAAATAATCTGAAGGAGAAGAGCCACTCGATGGGTGGTGTCAATGGCACTGTGATGTCGAGAGATTTTGGCAAATTCGTGAGCAGTTCTTTGCGATTCTGCTCACACTGTGCATTCGTTCGATTGGAACTTGACACCAGCTATGTGAATGACACATTGGTTGCGATGACATGAGCAAAATGCGCACTTGTAGAATGCATTCCATTCGGGTCATGTGTGTTGTCATTGCATTGACTATACCATTTCACTCACAACGGACACTCCACTGTCGGTGCGCCTTGACAGATGATGGCTGCTTTGTGAATAAAGTTCGAGGAATTGACATGAATTTGACACTAGCAGTTGGTCAGAGATGCATGCAGACGATCCAAATGGATTGTTAAAGAACGCGAATGCAAATGAGCTGTATAATGTAACGTTATCTGTGCACTAGATCACTGAAATGGAGGCGCTTTGTAAACACCATGGCAGGTAATACAGATGTGGTGTTGCGAGTGCCGCAATAGGCATAAATAGGCTCTTTTAAACTCCATTCGTCTTCTTCTTCTTCTTCTT